AACGTGGACGGAAACACTCATCAGGGGTTATGCTTCTCATATGTTTCAACCTGCCACCTCACTTGCGCTACCGATCCGAAAACATCTTTCTTTATGGCATTACCCCGAGTCGCAGAGAACCTACTAGCGATCAGATGAACCTCATTGAAGCTCCACTCATCCGTGAGCTTCTCGACTTATGGGCCGGCATCCGTTTCAGCTCTACAGCCCTTCATCCACAAGGACGAGTGATTCGTGTCGCATTATGGCCACTCATCGCCGATGTCCCCGCCATGAAAAAGATATCCGGCTTTTCGTCACATAGCTCTACAAATTGGTGTTCCAAATGCTATATAACTTTGGATGATATAGATGTTGTCGATAACAAGGTATTTCAACCTAGAACTAACCTGACACATCGACGACAAGTTGATACTTGGCTAGAGGCAACAACCCTTGCGGACAGAGACAAGCTAATGAAAGCAAACGGTGCATGTCACTCAGCATTTTATGAGCTACCGTATTGGAAGCCTCTTGAATTTGCCACCGTGGACATCATGCATTGCCTTATCATTGGGCTTTTAGGCGATCTTTCTACCACTTTTTTACAAATTCCGTCTGCTGGCAAGGAGCTCAAGAAGCAACAGGATGCTCAAATTAACAACGGCGAATATCCTACTTCCCAACACCCTCCACCTGACACATCTGATGTTGAGATGAGCAACCTTCCCAGCTGCAGCCTTTCTGACCCGCCGTATAATTCGGATGTGTCAAGTAACCGATCACAACCGCACCGAATTGCAAAGTCGAAGACCCCAACAGACGTTTCCTACCAACAAAGCCTTGTCAGTGATTCCTTGGAAGCACGCTCTGATTCGACTGCGACATCATCTCCTGGTCCCACTCTGACAGCTCATGAGCTTGGGCTGATTCACACCTGCGTAGCAGAGACATTGATACCTTCGTGGCTCACTCGAGTACCCAAGAAGATTGGCATGCCTCTTTCTGGAACTCCAAAAGCCTCCGAGTGGCTGATACTATATACTGTTTACATGGTTCTTGCCCTTATTCCATATCATCATCAAGCTGAGGCGAATTCCGATTCCAAAAAAATCCATGTTGCCATCACGCTGGCTACTCAGATCATAAACATTTGTGTGTCTCGCACAATGACAACTGAGAACATCAAGTCTCTTCCTAATATTCTACTTGAATATCGAACTCATCTTTTGAAAGCATGGCCTGGGATCAGATCAAAGCCCAATTTACACTTTGCGCAGCATCTGGCGGCTCAGATTGAACTTTTAGGACCCCCATCGTACACTGCTGCTTGGACTGGTGAGCGAATCATCGGTACATTGGTCGCAGCATCAAAAAGTAAAGACCGCGGTAAGTCATTGATTTTTTCCTACAATCTTTATCTACGGCTTTGGAACCTAACATCTTGCATTCCTACACTTTCAGATGTTGTTGCGCACACCATGATCCAAAAACACACACAAAGATCTTTTTTTCTCAATTTTTTGAAAGATACACCATCAGAATATGCAGACAAAATCGGTGTTGATATATTATTACAAAAG